TTTTTGAGTGAAGCTGTCCTTTCCTACCAGCAAGCATCTATGTCAGTTAGCGTTCTTCTATTAATTTTGCGGCATTTGCTCACTACGTGAGTGTTATTTTACTTATAATTGTTCCTCAGAGTGGGTCGACCCTCTGTACCTGGTCCCTCCTCTTTCTCGTCCTCTCCTCCTGCCCTCCTAAGCGTCCCTGTACCTGCCCTCTGTCACTTCTACTAACTCCAAGCTGCTGAACGGAGTGGGGCGATCAGTGGTGTTTGGTTGTAGCTGGTTCAGGATACACAGAGCTATGCAGATGACACACACTCAGTCCATGTATAACAAAGTCTATATCTTGACATGAAGATCCGTTTCCTTATTACACTGGAGTAAAAGCCTACTGAGGTGTCTTGTATTCGGGTTTTGGATATCCACTGACTACTCACAAAACTGAAAAGCTGACGATGCGCTACAAGTGTATTCGGTAGTTAGTTCTTACTTTTTTCATATAATTGTTCGTTGTTTGTTGCTGTAGATTGTCGAAGCTGTTGGACGGTCCTAGATCAAAATTAATTGAAAGTTACAGTGGATCATCTTTTAGGAACGAACGACGTCTCCAATCATGACAACAATATCTATTATTGTTCTTTAGTTCAATAACGCGCTGAAAAACGTCTCTGAATGTACAACGCAATGAGTTCAACAATAACTCGTTCAAGGGAGCATTGTGCGCATATGACTCATGTCAGACAACTGTTTAGAAACTGAAGAACTTCATGTGTCCACTCAACCCCACCTCTCCTGCTCCTCTCACCTCCTCTCTTCTCCTCTTTTTTGCTCCTTTGTTCAGAGGAGTTCTTCTTCCAGAGTTTCTTTTGGTTGTTGCGAGCTCTCATTGCTGTTCTGGAGTCTGTTATCCAGGCGTGATAGACAAACTGACACAGAAAGACAGACAGACACTGCTCATTTTCTGGAGGCAAGGCAAATGCATATTTATTTCCTCCTTCAGTCTACTCTTTTGTGTTGTATCACTGTTACTGAATCTGCTGAATCATTTGTTCTTCCTTCATTACAGTTAGTTGCCACCAGAGATTGGTTGTCCCTTAAAGGAGGGGTTCCCAACCTGGGGGTCAGGACGCCCACTATGGTTTAACTGAGAAGAAAACATTGAATCTGTCAAAAAAGAAGCCTATTAACTCTGTATGATTGTTAAAAATGATAAAAGGCCCCCTCAGTGGTGGGATGGCATAGGACAATAATGGAATGCATACTGGACTTTCTCACCTGTCTTCTGCACTCAAAAACTAATGCCTTCGAAAGAATATGGAAACCATTCCTTGCTCCTTGGATACATATTTAATGGTAATATTTCTGCTATACACTCTGACAAGGGGCATTTGTATCAAGCAAAAACTTGCGTATTATTTACTTTTCCTATTTTCCTCTCGTATTCAGCTCCATTGTGTTTTCAGCTTTACTAGCTGCATATAGATGTACCTGTCACATTTAACGCTGGGTTTATTTGGTTTTTGTGATGTTATTCCTCCGAAATCACAGCAGAAACAAAAATTAAAACACACAAAAACGGAACTTGTTGTTGTTTTTGTATGGTTTTGGTCCTGGTCCTGTCTTCTGTAATGTTTGTAAAAAGATCTGAATAAACACATAATAAAAATAAAAAAAAAAGGTCCAGTGTGTAACATATAGTCTTCAGTTAGCTTTTAAACTTCACTGCAAGATGCCTCTAGATCCTACACACTGGTCCTTTAAGGTGGTTGACTCTCACTACAAGGTGCATTTAATAGCTGATCTGGTGCTTTTTGACTGTAACACATGATCTTCCTCAGCTGTTTGTGCAGTTGTAATACAATTGTAGATTTTCTGGGCACTTTAAGATGTCACCACAAAGTCTTTTTTGTAGCTCCAGTTAAAAGTATTGAAGACCAGTAAGACTAATAAATAATTCTGCCTCACTTATTGTCAATGCAGCATAATGTAATATAAAATAAAATAAAAGTTCAGCTCCCCCTTACCTTCCCTTGTGCTTCTAAATGTATGACCTTCTTAGCCTATTAAATATTTAAAAAAACAAAACTCAGCAGGTATAAACAAGTATAGCAGCTGAAGAAGGGACTTCCAAAACCATGTCTACTTGAACAGTGTCATTATTTGTATCTTATGCTTTTACTATTATGTTAAATGTTGCTGTTTTTTATTCATACAGTATCACTCCTGGTTAAGACAGCTTCTCAACCGGGGGCAACAACATTCATTTTAACTATAATCTTCAAACGTGTGTGTAAGGAGTCTAATGTACGCTCTTGTAGCAATTATATGAACTACATCATATCATCAGCATGACGGGGGGCAGGGATGGGGAGTGCCTCTTGGACCATGAAGCACTTCTCACACAGGCTTGTTTCATAATTAATGGGGACATACTTCAACACACCACTGAATAATGAAGAAGTCGGGTGCTCAGCACGGCAGTCGGATGATGGGACATGATGATGGAATATTACAGGAGGGACTAAGCTTTGTCATGTGGAGATGAAATGCAACCATTCCAGCAGCTCTTTTATAAAATGTGTATTTACTGCAATGTTCGAACAGTGTACAAAGTAGGTGAGAAGGTTTTAGTTTCAGAACTTGTTGCCAGATATTACGACTGGAGTTTAGGTAGGAATAAATGGCAGTAAAACAACAGCACTGTCTCTAGTTTCATCCGGCTGACACTGCTTCACTGTGGACATTCAAAGGGATTTTCAGTGACTAACTGGGTCAAAATCACAAGGAGCGGAGACTGCTGCAAAGATACCACCCTGCACTGTCATTCCTGGGTAGCAGGAGCTGCGTGAGCTGCAGAGAGCTAAGCACTGCACTGTTACGGACACTGGAAAAATGAGGTTCTCATCAACAGAATAAGTCTGTCTTGGTACTGTCACACCCAAATATACCCAAAGAGACATGCTATGCTACAATGCCACCAGTAGTGAATCTTCTTTGGTAAGGATGCATGCTGAACACTAGTTTTCCTGAACTTATTGATCTGCACATTAATCTGCAGACCCCCATTTTATGTGATTTTGGTCCAGAAAAGAACATTTTCTACCTGTTAAATTAATGAATACTCTGATTTGAAAAGCAATTCTCATACATTGCCCAGATGGGGTAGTTTATTTATAGTCAAATTACGATGAGATTAATTGATTCCTCATTTTGCTGGGAGATTCCTTCAACCTTGTCAAGGACCCAATGAGATCCTCAAATTAAGAATAGTGTGGAAAATAAACAGAATCTGGGACATGAGAGTGAAATTGACTAAGTTAATTAGTAGTTTAGTAATTGACATTGTTAGTTACAACTTACCAAGGTGTCCCCAGTGCTGTTCTTCACCCTGGTATCCAGGTGGTCATGAGTCATTTCCTCCTCCGACTCAATCTGCTGCACCAGCCGCTTCGGATAGGTGATCTTAGTGGCAGTGTCCCCGCTGCCCGGACGCACTGCCAGAGTAAACCAGTCCCACATTCCTCCATCCTGCACTGGGCTCCTGTCCGCACCTGCATGTAGTACAACAGAGACACTCACCATTGGCTCACGGGCTTGGCAAGGTAGGGACACACCTGAACCCGTTTAAATTGCACCTGGCAATTGTGTAGTAAGCAAAGCAAATGGCAGAAGTTCGTTAGATTCAGTCACACTGTGATTTTTCTGTTTGCTGATGGTTTGGTGACCCAATTTATCACAGTGACCAGTTAACAACGTTTTATCAGCCACTGTTTTGTTCTATGACCTAAGTGTATATAAAAAGGTTTTGATGGAAAATGTATTAATTTGTCATGCTTTATAGGCTCTTTAATAGACTGACGCCCATATTGACATACACACAGGGCCTACATAGCTTAAAATCTCGGCCATCATCAATAACGCTGTAAAACACATTGCCTTGGTGATTGACAAGTTATATCACAATGCTTTTAGATGTTTATGGGTACGTTGGATATGGGCAGTGGGGCTGCGCTGGATATGTGTTGATGCAGCAAATGTACCGCATCGGAGGGTGCTTTCAGGCCAGTGGGCTGTTTGGCACCGAGATCCCGCTACAATAAAATCAGAGCCTACACCGGGGTTAGAAAAGTGCTAGTGCAAGGGGAAAAATTGTGGATGCAAAGGAAACGAAAAGGGTGCTCCCACTCTCAATCCAAACCCCCCCTCTCTCTTCTCTCTCTCTCTCTCTTACCTGAGACTGCAAGCCTCTCGCCCACTGCAGCAAAGACCATGAAGCACCACACCGCCAGCATGATCTTCACATATTCCCCCGGATTACAACATCGAGAGCCGCAGAATTTCCCGAACCCGACCGACGGAGGGGAGAAAAAAGACCAAAAACTGCACAGCAGAAATTATGGTGAAGCTTGAAAGGGAATCAGCTAAACATCTGACGATGCGCGTCTTGTCATCTCTCCCCCTCTCCCTCTCTCTCTCTCTCTTTCTCTCTCTCGCCCTCTCAGCTCCGGCCAGCGCCGCTATTGAGAATTTAAATTTGCATATCAGAATGATGAAAAATTAATCACCTAAAAGGACTATGGCGGAGATGATCGATATAGGGCTAGAGATTGATCAGTGAGGAAATAGTGAGGGACGTGAGAGTGCGCGCCGCGGATGCATAGCTCCGCAACGCTGCGCGGGCGCGTATGGGTGTATGGATGAGGTTGTATGTGTGCGTATATGCGAATCTACGGTATGCGGAAACGAAGGGATGGGAAAGCGAAGAGGAAGGCGTTAGGTCTGCGGTGAGGAGGACACGTGGGACAGTGGTACCCTCCCTCATACCGAGCAGCCTCCTCCTCCCGTTGCCATGCAGCTCTGCGCAGAGAGGATGCGACAGCCCGGCTGCTGAGGTATCACGGCCGAAGAAAAGCCGTAAAGGGAATCAGGATTTAACTGTTGATTCATTTTTTCTATGTCGGGGTATCGCAAAGGTGTGGAGAGAGAGGAGAGACACCGCAGCTGAACGCAAAAACATAATGACAAATGCATCAGGGGGTTTATAATGTTCCTGCAGATACTCACTTTCTGTGGTAACCAACTCAAACAGTTTAGGATTAGTTTGTCATTCATATTTTTACAATCAGACAGTAATTTTGCTGTGACACTTTGCTTTCATTTTCTTCTGTGAAATATAAAATAAAGCCAATTAGAACAACTCTGGGGCTGCTGTTAAATTACTTAAAGAAACATTATTAAAGACTCATTTTGATAACTTGATATGTTTTAGAATGAGGATTGCTAACAAATAATAAACTGATCAACATATCAAACCGTATTTTCATTTCTAAAAACGTCGTGATGACTGAAGAGAGGAGTCCCCCTTTGGTATTTACAAAACAGTTTTTCACTTTAGGCAACAGAGTGGCATATTGTTTATCCCACAGGGAAGCTTTTAAGGATCCACTAGCTGTTGGAAAAAAGATCAATCTCTTGAGTAACTATTGAGGTAAAGTATTTTGTGCTCCTCCACTTGAGTGGATTCAGAAACAATACAGATTAGTGATAAAGAAGGACATGTTCTGGACAGATACAGCTGTTTTTCAGGCATCTTCATTTGAACCAAGTGTCACACCTAACACTAGAATTCGCCATTCATCATATAAAATACTGTAATGTCAAACAATTGTAGAAATACTCCAAAACATGATCAGTATAACAATATTACTGCAAAGATCTACACTGTAAAGGCAACAGGCAACATTTAGTAGTAATGACTTAGGTGGACATGACAGGTGTGATGTATGAATTTAATTCTAAAAAACATTGTACCAGCAGTGCTCTGTGTGTTGCTCTCTCAGCCCTGTGACCTGTGAGGTTAGCTTCCCGGATGCAGTTAAGTCTTCCAGCAGTCATCCAGTAACACATCGCACTAATGGAGGCACATTGTGCACCGACAGCCCCCTCTGAATATTTCATCTCCCCCCCTTTGAGACCAACAGGGAGCAAGAGATGGAGGGGAGAGCAGCAGGAAGAAGAGTGCAGCATCATAGGCCAAATTTGTGCTTGTCCTGCCCCTCCTCCATAAAAATAAGAAGGCTGACATCAATTAAGTGGACTGACCTTTCTGCTGTTAATGTGAATTCGAACAACATCACCGTCAGCATCTCTGTAGTACCTTTTACTAATTTTAATTTGATAAACATAGAATGGCTGCTGATCACACAGAGCAGATTCAGCCAATTAAGTATTCAGCAGTGGTACAGCTGAAAAACTGCAGCTGGCGGTGCACATCAGTCTGTAGGATCAGTGGCTCCCGTGGGGTCAGATTAGGGCTATAAAATGACAAATGCAATGACTTTAATCTACTAACTTTATTCATTTACAGCAACAATTTCCTTCTCTGAAGTCCCGGAGACAAAACCTATGATCCATCTGTACCATATTTGACTGAGGGTCCTTCCATTTCCCTATTAATCCTATATTCAAAATGAAGCAGAGACACTATAGGGGAGACACAATGTGACTTCAGTATTTCATTTATCTATCAACAAATGTGAACAGTGTACAGTCAGAGCCTTGTGAGGCAGAGACATACTGCCCTCTACTGTGCGAACAGCATATTGCAGCTCCAAAAAGTTGTGTTATTTCCATCTTCATCAAGTCAGCCTGAGTTAGGACAAGTCTGAACTCTTATACAAGTATACTGTACTGGAAATACATCTACCATTGTATAGTTTAAGCCAGACATAGTCCTACGTTTATTAAACCTGGATAATATAGCCTATGGCTTTTATGTTTTTATTTTATGTATTTCCAATGTGATGTGCTAGAGGCCTATCATGGGTGGATACTCATCCTTTTCTTTGGAAGAGTTTCATTATTGCATTTCAGCTCTATGTCCTGTTTTATATTGACTTATTTTTAATCTTCAGTGTATCAAGTGCTAGTCTTACTCTTATTCATCACCGACACGCAACAACTGTCTGACTTTGAGGGGTTTGAACATGTGTTGACTTGCCCGTGTTGCACATGTTTGCACGCAGTTGAGCTTGGCAGGGCAATTAGGTTAATTACTTTCAGCTTTATTTCTTGAGAATCGTAAAGTGCTGAATCGTTGAACACTGCGGGCAACCTGACTCACCGCCTGTTAACCCGACGCTGCTAATTAACCAATTAAGATCTCTCAAAAAGCTATAAGACAGGCTGACAAAAGCGGCGGCCTTTCCATTACACACTTTCGTTGGATAAGTGTTCGGATATCGAGGAAAATGAGCGGTGTGAGCAGTGGGAAACCTGTCCGCGGGCAGCAGCTGTTTAACTGCGTCCACCCGAACTGTGGAGCGACTTTCACCAGACAGTGGAGGCTGAAAGAGCATGAGACGGTGCACACCGGAGCGGTAAGGACAATGTTTAAAGAGAAAGGCTTTACAAAAATACTGCATTAATTAAAGGTAGGTAATACATATACAATACTTTAACCAAATGTCCACAGCGCCCGTGCCAGTGCACAATTGCTGGCTGTGGTCGTCGTTTCTCAAGAAAATCCCACCTGAGCCGCCACATGCTTCAGCACAGAGGGGTGAAGCAATTCAAGTAAGTCACAAAGCCAAATTCGTACCGTTGCTCCTCCGTCACGACCTTGTTTTAACTTTGCTTTCTGCAGATGCAAGTTTGCGAGCTGCACGCAGAGTTTCCTGGACTCAGGCAAACTGAAGAGACACGTGCGCTACGCCCACGGAGACAAACTGAAGTATTTCAAGGTTTGTTGTAATACACAAATGTGTACACGAGATGGCGCCAAAACGCCACATTGTATCGCCTGAGAGTCACTGCACTTGACGTTGAATAACAATTTTCAAGTCTTCTCATTTTAACCACTTGAATTTTTTTCTCCCACAGTGTAGCCAGCCACACTGCTCCTTGACTTTCAAAAAGCGCAGAACGTTTAAACTGCACTTAAAGGAGCATGAATTGTCTGCCAAGTTCAGGTATGTCTGTAGTACAACATTGTCTCTCAGAAAACATGGCATTTAGTGTAAAACCTTGTGTTAAATCACACTAGCTTTGTCCTGTGGCTTACTGAAATCCCTACTATCAGATCCAGATGAGACTAACAGTCGAAGATTATGCACTTGCTATTTTAATTAATCAGATCTTTGATGTCTAGAGTAAAGGCCCTAGCAGGAGATAAATGAGTGGTTACAGGCTGAGTGGGTGTGGCCCCAGTGACTTAGTTACATTTATTTTTACCTCTGCCTGTCCCTGGTGGGGTACTTAGGTGTTCGAAGGATGGATGCGCTGCCACATTCGACTCCCATATCGCTCGCAAAGCCCATGAGAAGAAGCACGCAGGTTGGTCTATTTTAATCATAGTTGGGGTCCTTTCATCTTCCATCTCTGTTGAACTCCTTCATTAAAAGGGGGGTGTGGCTGCATTTGCATGTAACCTTTTCTTGCATCCAAGAAAATTATTTCAGGGCAAATCCCATGCATGGTATAGAGTTCAAAGGGGCCCAGAAGGGAGCCAACTGGTGAGCTTTGATTCCCTGATAAACTCACTGGCCTTGCTGTTTGGTCCCTGTAGGTTACCGCTGCCCTCATGCCAACTGTCAGGTGCTTGAACACACCTGGGGGAAACTTCATAAGCATATGGCAAAACATCCAGGTAAATGTTGTGGCCATAGTACAGAATTGCTGAAATCTATCCCTTTTTTTGTTTGCTTTTGTTTTTCACTTTTTAAAAATATGTTGTAGCCACATTCACATGCCAAGCATGCAAGAAGGTGTTCAAGAAAGCAGAAGCTCTGCGGCGTCACAAACGGATCCACGCTTCCCATAAACCAGTCCTGGTTTGCCCCAGAGATGACTGCCAGGCCTACTTCTCTACAACCTTTAACCTGCAGCACCACATCCGCAAGGTGCACCTCGAGCTCCTAAAATACAGATGCTCTTTCCCCGACTGCCCACGCATGTTTGCCATGCGGGTAAGTAACAGATGTAATAATACTGGTTCTTGTGAGGAGTTATCATATAAGAATTTTTTCTTTGCATTCAAAGATTTTCAAATTGTTTTTTATCTTTGTTCTATTCCACAGGAGAGTATGACCAGACACCTGCTTCGTCATGACTCAAGCGCCACCATTCTGAAGGTAAGTCTGACGTCTGTATCCCACAGTACAGATGTGGACTACAGCCACCACACAGCAGTGAGCTGAGGGGTCTATTGATTTTGGATTTCTTTTAAACCTGTTGAAAGCCAACTCCTTTGTGCTTTTGGCCAACTGAATGGAACAGTCAGCTTTAGAGGGTGGGGGGATTTACATGATTTCAATTTCGACTTTTTAAGCATTTTAGAATGACTCATGGCTACACAGCAAGTGTAAAACCTCTCCTAAATAGTTTTTCTTATGCCAACAGAAACGTCAAAGGCCTAAAAAGTCCTGGCAGAAGCGTTTGGATGGACAAAATCTGCCACTTGTGGAAGAAAACTTGCGCCGTCTCTTCGCCCTGCGTATGCGGATCTCCCGACGTGCCAAAGTGGAAACAAACCTCTCAGGCCTCTTCAATGAACGCAAGATCCCTCATTATGTTGACCCAGAAGTCAACCTGC